ATTGTGGCAGTGGGTGTAGTGATAACCATGTAGGCTGCACTACAGCAGGGCTTTACAATGGAGGGAACAGTGGGGATATACAGACTGGAGTCAGAGGCCCATCCATTAACTTGACAGGGTGGAGAAGCTGCCAAGAGTATGAGCGCATGCTTTGGAGCATGCTCCTCAGTGGGCGTGTGTCTCGCTGCGCCCATACTGCCACGGTTCGTCCGAGCACCACCAGAGCGTCAGGCCCTGGCAGAACAGCCGGTCTATGTCCATCTACCCGTCTGTGTCTGGAACCACAGGGCGGCTCTGTTCGGCCCTGCTCTGATCAGCTTGGCCCAGAACCTGAGAGAGGAGAGAGGGGGCGACATTACAGCCCAGCGCTCCCATCAGACTGTCTGCCTCACCGTTCCCTGAGGAAATCAGTTTAACAGTCCCCAGCTCTTGGCAAGCAGAGGGAGAGGGGGTGGAGGAACAGGGAAGAGGTGTGTGTGTGTGAGAGTAAGGGGGGGGGTTGTTACTGCCTCTCTGGGCGAGAGGGAAATCTAATAAAATTGAACTAATGGGGGTGTGGAGTTTTAGGGCACAGAGAGTGGGTTTTGCAGACAGGCACTGGTGGGTAGTGGTGGTGGTGGAGATGAGGAGGATGGAATTAGATCCTCTGAGTGCTTGGCAAAGCAGCAGAGCCAAACTCCTGCTTTCAACTGCAGATGGTGAACCCATGTCGGGTTTAAAGTGCGAGTTAGGGGGCCTAGGCCCACAAAAAATACTGCCAGCTACAGCTATAATATATTATGCAATTACAAATGCTGTATGCTTACACAAGATCACTGTGGTAGTATAGTGTTAACGAAAGACCGACAGAGACAAGTAAAGCTTTAATGTTTCTCAATAGACTCTTTAATGTGAAGCGGAAGGTCTCCATTTGAAACTCTGATCTTTTTGCACTTAAACTATGACTCCACAGACTGGTTAAATCTGTCTAACCTGCTGTGAGGCGCCAGAGGGCCACAGGTCCCCTGATAGTACACTGCTCCACTTTTAAGGGGAATAAAAGTGCTCACCCTGACCTCAGTGGGTTTGATTTACCCATCCTGAGACGGGCGTGGTCTGTTGCTTTTGTACCTGCTCCATGCACTTGCTTCCTCCGCCCAGGGTTAATAGATATGAAGTCATCTGGCGAGGAGAAACCTGAGTGTGTTCTCAGGATGTGCCCAGAGCACTCACAGGGACATCACTCAAAGCCCCCCATGTCAGAGAGGAAGCAGCCATTAATAAATATCATTAATGGGTGATCACCTGGTATCCCTGAAACCCCATAAATGAGAGAGGCCTAAAAAAAAAGTGGGAGTGGAGAGGTCAGAGGGCAAAGGTCTGAGAGGAGATAGCTCCCCTCTGGGCAAAAGATGGCTGAATCAGGGATGGTGTTTTAACAATGGAAAATCAATAGGCTTACTACTTTAAGTACACTTACAGAATGCATGAACTGTAGTGTCAAATCATGCAATTACATACACACACACACACACACACACTCACACACACACACACACACACACACATATATATATATATATATATATATATATATATATAATACATTTATCCTGGTAGAAGCTGACATGTCTTTATGGTGTCATGGACTACTCATCCTCTTGTTGTGTCTTTGCTGTGTTTTCCACTTTTCATCAACAGCAGGGCAGACAGTGGTAGGACAGACTATGAGCGCCCTGTAACACCTGCACGGATTTAATGACTGTTTTCTGTAGCGGCCATGTTTCTGAAGGATAAATGTATATGTATGTGTGTGTGTTATTAGAGTGAAATGCACGTGGTGGTTAAGTTCTTGAGCTTAGCACAGTCTGGGGAAATACAACCATGTGTTAAAGAGTCATTAGGGAGCTGATGAAGGTGTTTAAGAATCACAGCCTGCTCATCATTGCTCTGCTAACGTCCTGTAGTTGCGTCACTGTGGTTCTGGATACAAAGACTTAAGTTTCGGCCAGGGTGGCTTTAACCGAGCTGGAGTCTCAACTCCAGATGGAGCGGTAGCAGGCACAGAGATAGCTTCAGGAATAAGTTTATGTCACGGTAAGGGATTTCTCTTTTGATATAGTTTTTAACCATTTCTTTAGATTCTACGGTTTAATTTGACGGTCTTGATATAACACCTGCCACTTATTTAAGTTGTCTGTTGTCTTTTCCTGCTGTACCTTCATCTCTTGGAGCTGGTTGTTATGTGGGATAGGTTATGCTTCAGATATGCTGTCTTGGTTCAGCAACATAATATTATATTTTGTTTGGTGAAACTAGTGTGATCTTCAGCGCGTCTGTTCTGTAATCATGCACAGTCCTTTTGTTTTGTCTCTATCCTGTTTATAACTATCACCACTAAGGCTTTTGGAGTGGCCCCTCAGCTCTTTGACCTGCCTCTGTACTCCGACACTCATGGGCCTCTTCGGATGCAGGCTAATTCAATTAATAAACAGATAGCGCTGCACTGCCAGCTGGAAAGCTCTCAGCGACACTGATAAATGAGCAGTCGCTGTCTTGGGCTGATGGTGTGTGGGGAGGAGACATTAGAAGCCATCTAATCTCCCCCCACCCCTGGTCTCTCTCTTTCACTGTCCCCCTTCACCTCCCATTTACCCTCTCTGTCCTTCTCCTTTGGCGCCCGCAGGCAGCCCCAGATGAGCATCTTACCCACACACAGACATCTTTACTAGGGCCTCAAAAGCACAGTGCAGAGGTAGACAGGCAGCCTGCAGATTCCTTTGGCTTCTGCTCGTTCAGGTGATTGCCTGCTCTGTGACTAAGTGGCAGGAGATTGTCAAACTCTGATTGGTTTTGTCTTTCACAAGAGGGGTGGGCCTCACCTCTCTCCTGCTGACTGACAAGCTGAAGGCTGAAGGGAAGGTGTTTAGTTAGGGCTGTCAGTCGCAGAATTCGTCCTGTGATACACGGAAGATGTCCTTGTCAACACTGGTGACTATGATTGATATCTGTAAGCGTGTTTAAATCCGTTTTATGTATGCGTTTCTGTCAGTTTCTGTTTTCGTTGCATGTCAGCTAGCTGTTTGTTATTTCTGCATGTTTATACCATATCCAGATAGATATCAAGTGCCTATACTTTGAGCATATGCAGATTGTAACTTATACTGTTGATAGTAACAATATATTACAGTAAGTCAGAGCCTTCTCACTGCCGCTTGTTACCCTCTCAGTAAGTCTCAGTATGACGTGATGCTGTGGACAGCTGCAGGCCTGCATCCACCCGCTGTGTGTTAGTGTAGACTGTGGTATTTTAACCCTTGTCTCACTGGTCACAAAGAAAAAGGGCTTTGCCCATGAGAGTTGTGCTGCTGAGGCTGTGGTGAAGCAGATAGAGGAAGTTAGGGTGTGATAAGATAGAGATAAACATTAAGAGAGATATTTTAAAATAACATTCATAATGAGGGGCAACGGATAAAAACAAAATCATGTAGGTCTTGTTTCACTATGTCAGGCATCCCTTGGTTTGACAAGCAGAAACTGTTCTCAGCCAAAACAGGCTTGGCAAGCTCATAATTTCACAGTGCCGGTTTCATGTAGAGTTCTCTGTATCACACATGCTGTGTATAGAAAGTCACGTAAAAACAACTGGACTACTAGTAAATCCTCTCACAATACATATATGCAATTTGTAAATATAATACAAACCAGAGGGGTATGCTCTTTTTTGACTGCCCCACTTCCAAAATGATTTATTTGACTGTCTCTCCTCCCCCTTGGTAAAAAGCTTTCCACTCACAGACAGTGTGAGAGAGGAGTGGAGTGCTGATGTTTTGCTCTGGTCGTGTCCTAGCGTCATGATCCAGACCAGCTGGATGCCATTCCCTATGGGAATCATGAATGTGAAGGTTGTTAAAAGATATGGAGCCCTGGACACAGCATGGACTTACTGACAGCAGCTGGGAGAAGGGGGAAGGGAGCAGAGAGAGGACAGAGAGCACTAGGAAAGAAAATAAAAAACTTTGTGGAATTCACAACAGTAGCCTTGAAATGAATGCCTTTGTTTTCAGTTTTGTTGTTAACATTTTGCTAATGAGAAATGGACGAATTTTAGACAGAATCTAAGACTAGACTTAAGTATATATTTGAATGTATTAATTAGAACTTCTTCACATGAGCAGTGCACTTGGTAAAAAGATGTGCATTAATCAAAGTTCAACAGTCTCAACACCCTCTCAACCTGTTATTCCTAAAGCGGTCCAAATGTAAATAAGTCATGAAACAGTTCAGACATGGATTTTGTTATTTTGTCTAGGTTTGTGTACAACACACGAAGCCTGAAGACATATTTTAGCACTTGTATATTTGGATTAGGATTTTTTTCCTGGTCTTGCGGTTGTCCTTTATGTGAAGCCCAGAAAAACAAACTCTTGAGGAGAGGTGCATTCAGTAAACATGAGAAACACGGACACACCTTGAGAGAGCGTCTCTCTGGTCTCCGTCCCAGGCCACTCTGAGACACCGGCTCAGTCAGGGCTAAGTAGACCACACGGTTAGAGCAACAAACCTCCTGCTGGTCATCAGCAAGGGAGTAGTTGCCAGCAAGCTCATCTGACATCCACACACACACACATCCACACACACACACACACACACACACACACACACACACACACACACACACACACACACACACACACACACACACACACACACATGCATAGAGAAGAGAGAGAGGCTATTAGGAATATGAAGAGGAGGGACTGGTAGGATGGCAATCACGGGGGGTAAAGAGGGAGAATGACAAGACTGAAGGAGAGACAGAGGACAGCCTAAGTGGCTTTGATTTGTTCTCCTGACATATGGATTTATGGAGCCATTCATCATATAGTCAGCACATGATCCTGCTCTCTAACTGTTGATAACCAGACCACACTCATACATGGGAGCATGTACAAACTTTTAAATGCATTCATAGAAAATTATGTTTAACATCATATTTGGTGTTCATTCTGTCTACTCAGAGGCTGAAGGCTGCACTTTCACACCACCCGGGTGCCATCGCCAACGGCAACATGAACTCCATGGGCCACATGATGGAGATGATGTCATCGCGGCAGGAGCAAGGCGCCCACCATCACATGCACTCGCACCCGCACCAGCACCTGCAAGCCCCTCCCCACGCGTACCAGCACCACGGTCATCACCACCACAACCAGGGCCACGGCCAGGGTGGACACCACCACCCGCAGGGACACAATCCCCATCACAACTCTCACAATCCCCACCTCCATCCCGGGCACCCACACCAGACCTCACCGCACCCTCCAATGCACTCTTCTTCACATGTAAGCAAAGCACATTCCCTGTAGAGCTGAAGCTTTTAGACAGCCCAAAGTCAGAGCCACATGTTCAATAACACATTAACTACACTGCACATTAAAATCTCTCATATAGCGAGAAGCCACTGTATAGGTACCATGACTAAAACAAAGCAGCGTTTTAGTAGCTCTTTGAGGAGTTTTGAAGGCAGCTATTAGTGGTTTAGTAAAGAAGTATAGCTGAAATGATGCTTCAAATTCACAGCAAGTCAATGGATGAACACATTTTCCCTTGCTGCAACCATAATGCCAAGTAGTTTCCTGGCAACATCTCAAAGGTCATTTTTTTTCCTTGGAGGTTGGTCAGCTACAAGTCAGTGTCGGATGCCTGCCATGGAGGGAAAGGGTCATGAAGAGGCCATAAATTGGCCTTTATAAAAGATTCTCAGGACTGTCTTTTGAACACTATGCTCCATGCCATCCCTCACTGCCAAGCTACCATTACGTGGCCACAACATGCTCCAGGTGCAGAATAATATTCTAAATGTTGGTCCTGATGATGAACAGACAGCCTTGGCTAATATTCCTGGAACATCTTCGCCATGAATATATTTGGTTTAATTTTAAATTGAAAGCATTGTCGACAGTATTAAAAAAAAAAAAAACATAATGTGAAACACTTTGTCCTTGCATTGTCTAACGTCCTCTGCAATGCCAACAATTTTGCATGAAGGACAGTCGGACATCAAGAAATGCAATTCACTGTATGTTTCCAAATGTGTCATTAAGGCATTAAAACAACACTCTCTGTAGGCACAGCGGCCATTAGAGTAGCTTATATTTTCCATGGTTCTCAAAAAAATGGTAATGATCTGAAGACTAAAAACACTTGACCTTGCCAAGTATATGTCAAGATTTGTCAGTGCACGAACGATTTTAGAAACAAGTCTTTTGACTGTGTCTGGTGGTGTTAGTCTGAGTGGAAGTGGGCGGTGGAAAACTGCCTCCTGACACCTCTTTAACAAGGTGGGCAGGCTGGTGAATCAGCCCAGTCACTCACTCACTTTGTCACTACTGACGCCCACAGCCCAGGCTCACAAGGCACGTGGCACAACCAGATGTTGTTTTTGGGGAAGTTGCCAGACATGGAATAGCTGCAGGAGGTAATCTATAGATGCTTGTTTCAAGGCTTGATGACAGTGGAGCTGTGACAGCAGACAGGTGGCTCGTTGTTTATCAGGTGTGTCAGACTTGGTAACATGTCTGGTCGGATGGTGACAGACACTCATCAGAGAGCTCAGAGATGCTGATAACTCCCACCACCCCACCCCACCTGTGTTTCAGATGTCACCTGCGACACAGCAGATGCAGCCCACGCAGACACTGCAGTCTCCGCCCCCCAGCGGCGGGCGGCGCAGGCGAGTAGTGGACGAGGACCCGGACGAACGTCGGCGGAAGTTTCTGGAGCGAAACCGAGCTGCAGCAACAAGATGCAGGCAGAAGAGAAAAGTGTGGGTGATGTCATTAGAGAAGAAAGCAGAAGAGCTCACTCAGACCAACATGCAGCTTCAGGTATACGATGAAGTTCAGGTGTTAAAAACTGCAATAACTAAATCTATGCAGAGTACCACTCACAACATTCAATATTTGTGACTCAGTTCCTTATTAACTACATGACAGTATCCTGTTTTGCACCACAGATAATGGGAATAAGGTGGATTGGTTTGAATATGAGTGTAACAGACAAGATCAGCTGGATGTTGTTAGTGGTAGACTAATATAAAACACACCTGAAACTCTGTTGTACTATTTAAGAATGTAATGTTTAACAACTACATTATTAGTGAATCGTAGAATGTTTGTAGTTATCTTTAAGGTGCCTAAATGGTGATTGCACTTCCATTAACCTGGGGGAATCACAAGGAACAGATTAAAAAACAAATGGTAAAAATCAAAGCAACAGAGTTCCAAAAACACTGGATCCCACAATTCCAAATTCCCATAATGCAACTTAAAAAAGCATCTTTACAATTCCACGTACCAAATTTGTAACACAGGTTTCAGTTAAAAATTGAAAGCCCAATTCAACATATAAAATAACCTGATGATCATCTAAATATATGGTAGTTATAATATGATGATACTGCTTGTTATAAACACTGATACTAATAACTATCAACTAATTAAGAATAATAGCATAGCCTGCTTGTATTGTGCATGATAGTCTTAAAATGCTTCTTTTAATTCATTTCAGAATGAAGTGACCATGCTAAAGAACGAGGTGACCCAACTCAAGCAGCTTCTCCTCACACACAAGGACTGTCCCATCACCACTATGCAGAAAGAGTCCCAAGGTTACCTCAGTGAGTAGTTCAAACATAAACACAGACACACACACACTTGGGAATGTGACCAAAAACACACCTTCATCTGTGTGCCTTAGCCCCAAAGTGCATATAGCACTGCTGTGAGCTTGTTAATTGTCTTGCCAGAGAAGGTTTGAACTCTGCAGACTAAACAGTGATGGACGTACAGTGACTGCCAAGACTTTTCGCTCCTATGTGCTGGTATCCAGCACCCACGCTCATTGCAGGACTCTTCCGTTCACATATGGGTGTTGCACACTTTGGTAGCCGGCCTGGACTGGGAGTTGGTAGTCTGAATCCCATATGAGACCTGTTTTTCCATCTGACAGCACCTCTCTGCACAGAGGCAGCCGAGCGTGAGAAAGAAGTCACAGGCTGCACATTGGCACCCATACTTTCATGGATGTCCCAGGATCTCACTGATTATTGCACTGTGCCTCAGCTCTGCCGCACATGACATCAGAGCCCCACCCTTTGATACGGATACAAGTGACATTTCCATGTAATTCGGATAAGGCACCTCCCTGTGTGGCTTTAGCTGAGGAAAATAAGGCTCACATCCCCCTTGGCTGAATGGTTCTTTTATACAGGAGAAAGCCAACTCCCAGACTGGGCTGGGAGAGACTTTCATCGATGAGTCTAGCTTGTGTACAGATGTCACCTTCAATGTGTCCAGAAGTCGTCAGGCGTGTTTATGGAGTTGAGTGATTCACTTTTCCATTTTTTTTGTTATCCATTTATGGCCTATTTTGGGATGACAGGTGAGACTTTAGGTGTGAATTCAGTGTGTCATATGTTTGAAATGTATTTACTAATAAAGCAGTTTTTTTACAATAATGATATTTTGTCTGTGTTTATTTTGATATGATTCATCATTATTTATTTTACTATTACGTATATTTTGACGCCTCTGTGTAAAGCTTGACGATCAGAGCATTTACACACACATACTGTACACACACTTTGTCCATCCTCACTGATGTCTCTACTGTCTCCTCAGGTCCAGAGAGCAGTCCGGCGGGCAGTCCAGCACCAGTGTGCTCCCAGCAGCAGGTCATTCAGCACAACACCATCACCACCTCCACCACAACCGTAGGGGGCAGCAGTGTTCACGGGCAAACCAACCACCGCACAGACATTAACCCCATCCACTAGGGACAGGAGAGACTTTAACCCCAGCTGTAGCCCCAATCCCCCCACCCCTACCCTGCTTTCTGAGGGTTGCCAGCTGCACATGCTGCCCACCCCCCCACTCCATCAAGAAAAACCTCAAAGGCCTGTGAGGCTGTTCTTTATACAGTAGCTACAGTATGTATTTTTATACACCAACCCTATTAATGCGTAAATGTTCTATGGTTTGTTGCCTCTTTTTTTAATCAGTTTTTTTTTTTGTTTTGTTGTGCTTTTAGTGAAAAGGGAGTTTTCTCGTGCAGCATTTAAGTGGCTTTTTCTGTTGTGTAATGGTACAAAATGGACCACGGTGGTCATGGAACCAGAGGAAAGAGACATTAGCCTCAGACTGTCATCTGTATAAGCAAACTTTACATCTCTGTATGCCTGATGGACTGAAAAATGAGTCAAATCTCTGAATATCACATGTGGACAGTATGTTGAGTGTGTGCAACAGACTCTGAATAAGTGAGTGGGATGTTGCTGCCTTTAAGTTGTCTTCTGAAACCAAGTCAAACTGTCACCCTGATGTCTTGAAGACAGGAATATGCAAGCAGGTGTAATGATCCTCTTCTTTCCTAGAAACGTATATGACTGTTAACCTTTTCCCTGTCAGCGGTATTCTTAAAGATTGTTATAAAGTACAGCATGACAGTGAAAAAAATGATCAAATTGAAGCAATACACCGCAGTATTGATCATCTTCTCTACTGTATGTCCACATTATGATTAGAATGGCCAAGCCACTCTGGTCCCAGAGGACATACGATGCTGTTACAGCTACAGAACTGTACACTGTGATACCAGCGAGGCAGCTCAGGGGTTTGAAACAAACTCCTCCGCTCTCCAGGACCAACTGAAGCTTTAATTATTCAAGCCTCTTTTTGTGTGTTTGTGCATCTGGATCCACACTTTGGATTCAAATCCCAAATTAATATAACATTCAATTGCGTGCGTCTGCATAGTTTTGAGTGTGCATGTGAATTATGCAGATTATGCTTTCGAGTTTTGTCTTCTTTCCTCTGCAGAACAAAGTTCAGCAGGTGCGTAAAGAAAGAAAAACAAAACAAATCTGTGTGAGTGTGTCACTGTGAGCATGATGGGTCGTCCCACAACTGGCAAAGTGTGTTACAGTTTCTAAAGAGGAGCAGTTTATGCCTGTGCTTTCCAAAATGTCACAACGTGCCTGAATCTTTCTTAAAATATTTTGTTGGCTTACTTTAGACAGGAAAACATCACTCTTTTTTCTTCAAACAATCAAAACCGTTTAATTCTCAATGTATTATTAATGAGTTTTCTCTGTTATTGGCTGCATGTGAGGGCAGCTGACCAAGGAAAAAAATACCCGTTTTCCATTTCATCAGTTTCTCTTCATCTCTCTCTCAGGCCTCCTCTACAGTTCAGATTGGCGATGGATGTACTGATAATGATATAGACTTTACCTTTTATTAATCTCCCTTCCAGCCTTGAAACTTCATGCCTTCTCATGTTGACCACAACTGCCCTTTCTCTCTTTCCTATGACCAGGAATGTCGATTCATTAGCATGATGACCATAATGCACTGTGTTTTGCAGTAGGATGGATTAAATACATTCCACTGACAGGTGGAGCGGTCGCAGAGCTGTCTATGCACTTTGTCCTCTGTCATGCCAGAGGGTCGAATAGCCATATTAAGGTCCGAGTAATTCTCAGTGAACCCCTTTTTCACACACCAGCGAGAAACTAAACTGTGTTTGGCTTTATGGAGAGACTGTGCCTGGGATGCATCACATGTCTTTAGATAGAAGAAGGGAACCTAGAGCTTGTAATGTGGGATGAGGCTCAATGCAGGACCCTGCCCCATTACATTTTTGCCCTTTTTGAAAAACAACTCCAGCTCCAGTTTTGTCAAAGATGAAGGGAAGAATATCTGATCCTCATATTGGGTTACATTAAAATTTTATCAAAGCATTCCGACTGTTTATGTCATGTCTTAACTTTAGAGTCTGTGTATGCAGTTTGATATGAATGTTGATGAAACAACTGATTCTCTTGAAAAGGGCTTTGTTGTACCAACCCTTTAAACTGAAGCTTGCCTTATTGTAGGTTGTTTTATAAACCATATTTAGATTGTTAGGCCATTCCAAATTAACCTCTTGCATGTGAAAATATGGTAATGACCTTAAAATACTTTTAACTGGAATAATTTGGAGGATCTTGCTATTTTAGAGTTAGATTTAGAAAGTCTATAGTTTCATTTATACAGTGGATCCAGGTTCAGAAAAATACTGCAGAGGCAGACAAAAATGGGCAGATGGAAGTGCAGTGTGAGTGTGAATGGATTTGTGAGAGGTGGAGAAAGATTCTACACATTAATGATGTTATAATTGTATTATTTTAAATCAAAAACTATAAATATTGTACATAATGTCATTAATTTCTGTAATCCTGTACATGTAATGCAACCACCTTTCTTTTTGAAGGGAGTAAATGTGTGGTACATGTTTGTAAATAATGTTTGCATAGCACTTGTTGCCTTTTGTTGTACGTCAAGGCTCATTTCAGCGCTTAAATACATTGTTTATATGTAATGAACTGATGAATCCATTCTTGCCTGCATAACTTTGTACATTTCCTGTGTCTGTAATGACATTATCTCCATTTTGTTTTGTTTTGCATTTGTACAGATGTTAAAGTATCACTGCAGTTACATTACGGTATGAAAATAAAGCACTTGTTCTGTAACATACAACTAACTGATGTGATTGGATGTCACAACCTACCTGTACTGAAAATCAAGTGACAAACAGTAACCAGAATGCAAAACATGAACTAAGAGACATTAACTGAATATTTGAAGATAATATTTTAAAACGTTTTTGAAGAATTCTATTAAAAAATAACTAATGTTCAAACCAAATGATCATCAGTATTTCCTGATGTTTGTCCTTGAGACATAACTGCTCATTAAATAATTAGATGCTTTAAAGGTTTAGGATACTCATTAATTATTGAACTGTCTAGACATCTTGATTGTTGCCTGATGAAATAACATGGCAGTTAACTTCAGTGCACAGACAGCATTGTGCACTGAAGTTAGTTCTATCAAAACAAGAACAATAATGGAATTGACAAGCATTGTGTACAATAGCAACATTCAAAGAGGTCATTTTACTTTCTTCAGAGATATTGACTAATTTAATAGTTTAGGACCTCATTTCAAATAATCAGAGATCTAATGCAATAAACCGGTTTAAAAAACACATTAAATAAACACAGCTGTTTTTTTTTCTGCTAATTTAAAATAAAAATTCTTTGAAGCACAGTGACTCCTGGTGTACATTTTGTTTGTTAACCAAACAGTGCTTGAGAGGAGAAATCCCATTCAACAGGTGGTGCTGTAAAACACTACCACAGAAGTTCTTAAGAAAAGGTTGTCAGACTGTAAAATTCATTGTAATCTTTTTAAATTTTTAAGACATTTTGTTTCAAGACAATTCAGCTCTGGTTTAAACTTACCCTCAAGCATGTAATGATTCAATTCACCTTACTATATTTCCCTCACACGATCCCAAAAAAATAAACATGTAATGATTTTCATAGAACTCATGCGTGGTAATCAGCAGGGGCGCAGAACTGGAGGGGGGAAAAGGGGACCAAGTATGCAGGGCCGTCATGTGAGAAGGTTCCACTAAGATACTAGAATTAATACCCGTGGATGCGGGGAGCGGCTCATAGAAATTGCTAATGTACAGGGTCTAAAATTTTGTGCTATACCCCTAGTAATCAGACTGAACTGCTATGTTGTTTTCATAGGGCAGTGATTCAGAGGTCTGGATGTAGTAAGAGAACTAATTTAGTTTCCAGTGCATCCGAGAGCACTAAACCAAAACTGCATATAAATAAAATCATGTTCAAATCCAACAATGTGCTGATTTACATTGCCTGTTGAGAGGAATATGTCAATCATGATAAAGGACCTCGCTGGTTGGTCATAAGGCAGAAAATGTCCCACTCTTCAGATGATGACCTGCAAGACAAGAGGACAGATTACATCATTTAAAACAGGTGTTCACAGATTACTTCACACATTGTTTGGACTGTTGTTAATATCTGCTCACCTGGTAAAACTCTCCCACTTGTCCTACCTAACCTGCCACCACCTCTGTGTTACCGGGCTGAACCTTCCAGTGGAAGCAAGGGACTGTTCATGTATCCATACTCTGAACGTCGCAGTCAGTGGGACTGTTATACACCACATATGTTCCATGTTCCACAAAGAGACTGAACATGTAGGTACCTTGCAGCCAGAGCTGGACTGGAGCCTTCTCCCTGTACCCTGTCAGTCAGAGCAGGGCATACAGAAAGTTAGATCTCAGCACCACCCAGTGGTGACTATAGTTTATTAATAATAGTAAAGAAAACAACTATTTGGACAGTGCATATCACCCAACTTCTTAACCATTCATAGTAATAAAGATTAAAATGGGGCCAGATTTAGGCTAAGATAGGTAGGTAATCAGATAGTAGATGTGGCAAATAATCCAAATCTAATGTCAAACATCTTTTTTTTTCCACCTAATATGGAAATCAGATTTAATAGTTTTTCAGTTAAGGATTGTTTTAGGATTTAATATAAAGTCGAGTTGGGCACATGATATCAAAGCTCCAAAGCTTGTTTACTCCTATGAATCTCACTGTTTAAAGATACTGTGTCAAATGAATAATACAATGTGACTGATGATGTCCGAAGCTTCAAACACCCCTGCTCCTTCACAAAGATTTTCATTCAGGTTAAATTTTTAAAGAAGAGAGATTAGGGGAGAGGAGAATGTACACTAGAAAGATATAGGCTAATCTTAAGGGATCATTTCCACCTTTAACAATGTAACAATGTGATAAAAGTGATTGGACATTGAATGCAGCAATTCTGAACAAAAGCATTACAGATTTAATAACATGAAGGCTTCTTGGACTTTTATTGCACACTTAAGAGACAATGATTATTAAAGTTTGAGGTTTTATAGTGCCTCAGCTCGTTTTGAAGGGCTGTTGTAAGTTCAACAAACCACTAGATGTCACTATGCACAGCAGCTACTATCAAGTGAAAACAACATATTGTTGTAAAGAAATACTAATAATTAAATGCTTGGATGTTTTTCCTCTGTTGTCTGTTTCAGTTAACTTAATTTATTTAATGATTACGTTATTCTAATAGACGTGGGTAAAGTATTAACACTCATATGAAATAAATAAATAAATAAATGCTGTCACACATAAAAAGATGAAAAAGAAGTTTCTTAGCCTAAAGTGTCCTAAACCCTCTAAACCAACAAACCAGTGCAGACCAGGCTGATCAGGCTGAACAGTCTAAGCTGGCATTATATTTAATATACTGATGGTAACTTTAGTTGCAGTTATTGATTTAATTATTAGTCAGAATTCCTATTTTAGTGTATTTTATGAGACTGAGAATCAATTCATTGGCTACCATTTTCTCTCCTTTATGGCTGGTGGCCCAAGGAACTATTATTTATTTACTTATTTGTTATGTGATGCCAAAATGTATTGATTTCACACAGTTTGGTCTCCCTTTTAACCATTTTAATTTATAATTTATAACATCAGTAATGTGGGTGTAAGGAGGGATCGATTGACTCCATTCAGGCTGCTGACAGGTGAGATCTTCGGCAGAATAGCAACGAGCAGCACCTTGAGTGTGTGAGTCCAGACAGGCCCACAGTAACAGGAAACTTGAGTCTCCCTCCACAGCCTGTCAATATAAAATACATATCAGACTACAGGCCTGGTCCAACCCACTGGGTTGCCTGGTCAGTGATGTGTGAACCTCAAACAACGCCACAAGTAATTCAGATTTCAAAACAATCCGTCCACAAGCACATTGCCTGTCTGAAAGCAGGTGGAACAAAAAAAAAAAAAAAAAAAGTTTTACTTTGTTAAACCTCACCTCATGTTCAATGTCGTTTCTATGGCAACGGGAGACATTTCAGCCTTTTAATCAGAACGACAACTTTAAAGGCAGAATGAGTTGGATTTTCCCCCAAACAATAAATAATTCCTCTCAATCATAATTTATGACCCACCAGAAGTGTGTGGAGGTGTGGCGGACCCTGCCTGTACTTTGGGCAGTGTGTGTGTAGCTCCCAGCCAATGACAGCATGCAGATCCAGATCGCATGCACTCATCCAAGCAAGGGGGTGTGTTGTGTAGTAATGTGGGTGTGTCCTGTAGTCTGCAAGTGACTGATAGACCCTTTTTGCTGTATCCTGGGCTTAACACCTCCCAAGACGATTGTGCCTAGTGTAAAGAAAATACAAACAAGTCAGAGTTTTTTTCCGTTATACCAATGATAATGGGTTCAGGGTGGTGAAACCTTTCTCCAGCACTGGCACTGTACTAAAACAAAGTGTGGAGATGGGTCTGGCAACTATGAGCTAGTGATGGGAATTTTTATGAGTACTTGAAGAGAGCTGGATCATACTCAGCCAGGTCAGTGTGGGCTTTTTTCTTTTGTAGGGTGTGGGGGTTGGGAGGTTAATATGCAAAATAATCATTAGGATAACGATGAGGGTAAAATTTGGATCAGATTCAAACTGAGACTTCCCACCAATAGAATTTTCTTTTGCATGTGTGGAAGTGCTCTATTGCCAGAACTGATGTTAATGATCTGCTTTGCAAACATTAAAATTGTTTATATGCAATTCATGCACTTAACACTTAATATTAGAAATCTTTTTTATTGACACAATAGTGGTGAAAATTATCATCTGATATGGGTCTTAGGCATAGATATGGCAAAATAGCTCAATAGTGCCCTACAAAATTTCAGTGAAGTAGCCCTCACGGTATGCTTTACCTAAATTTCCAAAATTCGGTGGGCACATGTACCCATCCATGTCCAGACTCGCACAGAACTTGAGCAACACCCCAAAATCAAATATTAAAATGTATATCCACATCAGGCAACCTCTGGAAAGTGTATTGCTGTTTTAATAACTCACTAGATTTGCATGACCTACTGGTAGCCTGAAGTGATCCCTGTGAGGCAGCAGTTCGTCAGACGTATACAAAATGTCCAACATGTCTTTTCCAGTGCAACGTCCTCCACACAGGACATTCTCTCATTAATGCAGTGTCTGGTTGTCCTGAAAATTAACAACACCATGGCTTCCACCACCTCCCACACTCAGAGGATGCAAGGGCCCATTCAATGCTGCTTGTGGCTTTAATTTTAGGTTGTTTTTTAAAACATATTTAGACACTTTTTTACAAAAAACATTTTATTATTTCAAGACAATTCAACTTCCGTTTCAAGGTTGCAGTGATCGACTGCAACTACATTTTCCTCACAATCCCAACAAAAATAAATTGATGATTTTCATAGAACTCAGGCCTGATAATCAGACTGAACTGCAGTTTTGTTTTCAAGTACCTTTTTACTATTTGAAAAAAATCAGAAATGTTGGCAAGGCTCCAGAGATCAGGATCCAGGCTAAGATTACTTATTTCATTTGCATTGCATCACAGAGCAGTCCCAAAGTCTAAACGCAAACAAAAAAATCAGCTGAAAAAATAAAAAAACTGAATTAAAATGCAACAATGTGCTGATTTATGCTGCCTGAGATAATCATCAGTATTTCAAATCAACAGTCAATAATCAACAGTAAGCTCTCAATAAGCAAACATTTTATATCCAGCCCTGCGTCGAAAGGAATCTGTCAATCATGTCAAAGGACCTCGCTGGTTGGTCGTAAGGCAGAATGTGTCCCCCTCCTCGGATGATGACCTGAATAACAAGAGGACAAGTTACAGAATTTAAAACGGGTGTTCAGAAAATGCTTTTTCACTTTGTTTTAAGTGTTGTTAATATCTGCTCACCTGGTAAAACTCTCCCACTTGTCTTACGTAACCTGCCACCTCTGTGTCACTGGGCTGAACCTTCCAGTGGAAGCGAGGGGCTGTTTTGTACTCCGCAGCCCCGGTCCAGTTGACAGTAGGCAGGAACCTCTCAGTCAGTGGGGCTGCAACAATTACATCCAGCTGACCACTGTAGATTAATACCTGGGTGTATATAGAAGTGGATCAAACAGGGAAAAACTGTCAGAGAGGGACTTTCTCTTGATGATGAGACAGACATACTACTGTAATCCCAGACAATTGTCATATCACGACACCAATTATATCAATATATATTATATATTATATCTCCAACAAAATACAACTAAAAGTGGACAATCCTACACTCCTTACCCTATAGTTGTCCATAAGCACTCCAAGCCACGGTTTGATGCTCTTCATGACATCCTGCAGAAGGTGCTTCTCCACCTTAGAGCCGTCGTTGAACGTCAGGTTCCCCACATGGATGGCGCGACGCACCACTGGCAGAGTCACAAACTGGGAGAAGTACTCTTGGTCTTCAGGCTCCTGTGGTGCACAAAAAAAACACATGTAATAGGTTGTGCAAAGACTGTTTTTAGTTAAAAACTAGTTTATATGAATGTATAAGAAGTCACACGGGCAGCTTTGAGCTCTGCCAGTGTTTCTAAGTACCTGACATGTCATGTAGTTGAAGTAGTTGGTGCAGCCTGTAGCATTTTGGAAAAAGGAGGGATATGGTTCCACATCACCATTCAGCAAGCTGTCAAAAACCTGAAGTCAGAGGTTAAAACAAAACGGTCAACTAAATCTGTTCTTTGATTTTCTTCACAGTTCTAATTTTTGTTTCAGGAAGGTGTGATACCTAAATGGCATATATGGCATTCATTCATTTAATGATTTAAAATCAGTGTAAATCTAGACAAATTATAAATAATACTGATTGTATTTTCACAGATTTAAGCAGTAAGCAGCATCTCTTACCTGAAAAGCCTCCACCCACTTTTGCTGGTGGATGAGTTTAACCCCTAAGTCTGTCTGCTGGATGACATACTCCTTCTGGAGCTCATCTATCATACCGGTTTGGTACATGAACTCACCATAACCACCCAGCATCTGAAATGGAAACAGTACAATATTAAACTCTTAATTTCTCCATTGACATGTACTGTAGATTACTATACCAATAACATGAGGGATCAAGCAGAAGATAACTTTTTACAAACATGAGTACAAACATGAACAAATAGAACAAAAGGGGTTATTAAGCAACTTTCTGGTTAATACAAGATATATAACCAATTTTATTAATTGAAAGACACGATTCCTTGATGCTTGTCAGATACGCACCATTTCTGGATCACAGAGCCCATCACCAATAGCCATCCCCTTGAGGTTAATCTTCACTTTGGCAGTGGGGTTGTTTTTATGGATGTAGTAAGAAATGGCAGGAACATACTTTCCTGCATAAGACTGTGGACAGAGGAGGTTTACATGGGTTAGGATTATATTTTAAATTACGTATCCAAAACATTAATTTGCAAAGAGAAGAACTATACCTCCCCAGTTGCATAGAACTCATTGGCCTGATACTCAGGAAAGATCTGGAAGAACTGTGTTAAAGCACTATTAAGGGAAGAGATGGGGATAATGAAAGAGTTAGTAACAATCAAACATCAGACATAAACTTAAGATTTAAAACATTAATATAGCACAACTATTTGATATGTAAAGATAAAGTGGAGTCATGGTGTCCTGAGCAGATAATGTTGTGACACTTTTGCCTGTCTTGCTGAACCAGGGTCTCTGTGCCATGTGTATGTCTATGAGACACTCTGTTTGCTGTGTGCAGCTACAGCAGCCTGTTTTGCAGATATATTTTGATCCATTTAGTGAATTAAGGGTTTATTTTAACCAAACCAGCATCAATGATTGTTGTGCTCTACTGCGACATCCAGTGGGAAGTGAATTTTGTATAAATAACCTTTAAAAGACCAAAGTGACACCAATACTATGTTTGAGTTGTTTTACCTGTACAGATCTCTACCTACATCATCCTGGTTCTGAGCAAAACCTCTGTCATCATCAGTGAAGCTGAAACCTGTTCCAACCTAGAAAAAAGACTTAGATTATTCAAGCACATTAAACATGCTGATGAGCTGTTGATATAAGATGTGGTTAATAAAAATTATTTTGTGACTTTTTTGTTGCTTTCTTTTTGAAAATAGATGTGTAATACCTACTGGATTGTCAATGTACAAAACTGAATATCTTGATGTCCAAGCATAATCCCTCAAACCAACTAAAGAGACAAAAAAATATGAGAATATTAGAAAAACAAAACCGATGCTCTAACAATGCAGGGCTCACCATTAATAGGTTAAATAAGAATTACAGTACATGTTTAGGTATGCTGCTGTTGTACCAAATCATGTCTCACCAGTCAAGTTCTTATACACCACATATGGTCCATGTTCCACAAAGAGACCGAACATAGAGGTGCCACCAGGTCCGCCTTGCAGCCACAGCAGGACTGGAGCTTTATCCTGGTTCGCCTGTCAGTCAGAGCACAGCATACAGAAAGTTCAGCTCTCAACACCACCCAGTGGTCACTTTAGTTTATTAATAACATATTTCTACAGATACAAAGACTTTATTAAATTTTCTGTGTGCACAAAACTTTGCACACAGAACATATGCACACACAAGGTGACATACATCTGCAGGCTGTGAAATCATTTCACAAGCTCAAAATATGAATGTGCCTTATTTGCAGAGTTGTAGTGCTTCAGCTACAGTCTCGGAGGGTAAGGACTGTAAGTTTTACAAACAGCAAGCCTTGAATCTTTCCAAAAGATGCATCGGTAATGTGCTTAAATATGTGTGGAGGGAATTTACTCATACAGTATGTATACTTGTAAACACAATTGATGGACTGAATGCAGAGTTATTTTTGAGGGGGATAAACGTAAACACCATGCACTCGGTGAGGCTGTAACACTGATCTTTCATTCAGTGCCAGTCGTGGAGGTGGCATGCAACATTACTACACTGATGTATGAAATACAGACACAGATATGGGACTTGGTTACTGATTTATAACTTTAAGGAAACATTGGAAAATGCTTCTGTAAGACTTTGGTTGAAAAAAAATGTGACTTTTATCACAAAGCAAAGTTCACTATCATAACTGGCATTCCCATCCCATACAGCAGCTGACTAAATACACACCATGCAATTCCTTATCACAAGTTGACTGAGGGAGCACTGTTAAAATACCTGGAGTACAATCAAGTTCTAAAGGAAACAAGCACCCCAAAATGACAATAACTGCCTCCATCTTGTGATCCTCTCCCCAACTGCAGCACTGACTGTAATGTGATGCTGTAATTTTGAAAGCCCCTGTTGGAAAGAAGAAGTGTGAGCCTACCATCATTGCAGGGAAGAACCAGAAGAAGAGGTTGCTGTTGTATTTTTTGTTGACAGTGAGGTACCCGGCATAACTCTTGACATTGGCACCTGGCAGATCTCCAACCAGACTCAGTTTCCTGGCTGGAAAAGACAAAAGAGAAAAGATGTCTGATTGGTGGCTCATGTGAATGAACCTTACATACTACTGAGTATTATGGCACTACTACTACTACTACTACTACTACTAATGTTGGCGCTTATACCTTCATCTATGGCGCCCTTCTCCAGGTAGGGAGTGAGAAAGAGAGGGGACCCGGGGTCGACTCCATTCAGGCCGCTGACACGGTGAGATTTTCGGCAGAAAAACGAGGAGCAGCTCTTTGAGAGTGCAGAGTCCAGACAGGCCCACAGTAACAGGAAACCCAGAGTCTCCCTCCACAGCCTGCCAATATAAAATACAATAATATAAAATACATATCAGACTACAGGCCGGGCCAGTGACGTGTGAAGTCATTCAGGTTTCAAAACAATCCGTCCACAAGCATATCACGTGTCTGAGCGCAGGAAGACTAAGTAAAAATAAAACAACAACTTTTACTTTGTTAAAACTCACCTCATGTTCAATGTCGTTTCTATGGCAACGGGAGAAAAGTCAGCCTTCAATCAGAGAGACGACTTTAGGTGGGACAGCCGCGGACTGACCGAGAAAGTGTAAACCTGTACGGATGAGTCACATGATCAGCTCTGCGTAGGTCATGTGATATGTTAGATCACGTGGTCGTTGCGATGCTCTGCGGGTGTTTCGACCCTCAACGTGGTCTCGCAGGAAACTCCAGGCGTCTGGTCTGAACTAACGTTAAGTTGCAGACATATGAAGATGAAGGAAGGTTTTCTAAGACAGCCACTGAAATGATTTCAGAGTAGGCTAGTCTGATATGGTGAGTAAACGGTTTGTTTAGACGTAGCCTAGCAATAAGGCTGGTTTTAGCTAGCTGTTGTTAGGAATAACTAGTCAAACAAATGGGATACACTGTTTACAATTAAGAAGCATTGACTGTACAGTATTACTGTATCATTATGTAGTGCTATTATACTACAGGCTACGATTAATAAGACCAGTTTACAGGGATATAATGTGGATATTTTAGCCTGCACTGTATCTTCACAAAGAAGAAAATGGCTAAATTAAGTAGCTTAACAATAAAAATCTGTTACTTTTTCATTGCTGACTGACCCACAATACAAATATCACAACTGGGGGGAAAAAAGTGGAGTGAAAGTCTGGTGCTGGTTCTCAAAGCAAATAAATATAGTAATAAATACATTACCATAAATAGTGAAGTTATATTCACAGTTTAATTCCAGCACATACCTGTTCAGCACAACTAAAATGATGCTCAGTTGAGTATTATGTAGTCTACAGTACACATCATATAATTATGAAGCATAAAAACCTCAGACACTACATTACTAGTTTGATTTTTACTTTCATCTCGAAAACTAAAAATGTGGGTAAAGACATTATCACCAATCAAAAAACCCCAAATCAGATCTCAGCTCAACATTGCCACATATTAAAGATGCACAGTTAAAGTGTGCTTTCTCCTCTATTATTATTATTGTATTGTATTATTATTATTTTTTGAGTCCATTGTGTTCTTCCTACTCAGCACCATAAATCAGCAGAGATTTGCAACCATCTGAGGAAGAAAGTAAAAAATATTAGGTAAAAATTTATTTTCAAGAGTTGTTGGAAGCCGAAAAAGATTATAAATACTGATGAATAATAGATTTGGGTTCATCAGGTGACCAGAAACACAACTCTAAACTCTAGTGGGATGATCATTTGGCTCCATGCTGGATGTCTAAGTTGGTTGATCATGCAGTAAATGAGAACTGTGTGTCTGTCATCCAGTGGCCTAAAATTGATTGATGCAGTTTTTAAAATGCTACCATGTATACTAAAATCACTCATATTATAGGTCATTTTCACAGCAGATATTTTCACTTGTCGTGATAGGAAAAGCACTAATAACATATGGCTCCGTTCACTTTAAGTGTCCCAGTAAAGCTGTGACAGTGAGCCAGCACGCACAATACCAGAACCCTGAAACTGAAGCAGCTAAATGGAATTCAGCCATCATTAATTGTATTATTTACACCTGTGCTTTCTTTCTGTGACATGTCATAACATCCTCTGTGAGGCCTGTAAGCCAGCATGCACAGCAACAGGGTCCTCTAAGTGCGAGACATAAATGGAGAGATTATTAATGTTAATACCTGTTAACATTTCTGCTATGCTTACCTTAAAAAAGTGTCCATCAGCACCTAACTCAAACACTGATTCTAGTACAAATGCTGGGATTTTTAAAACTGCAGTTAGTCATTTTATGCCACTAGGGGGCAGAGGAACACCAAAATTAGCTGACTGACACAACTCTGTCATATTAATACCATTATATCACTTAATTGCTGAGTGTGACACTTTTGTTCTACAATGCAGTGCACAATGGAAATGAAGATGCTACTCACAGCTGGGAAGAAGATTATGGACTGTAAAGTAACAGCTCAGGTGAACAGGTGAGGAAGAGGGGGCTGCAACACACTTGTCTGCTGCTTACAAAGCTGTGTATTAACAGCTGATTTAACCTACTGTTAAGTCTGTCTTGGTAGAAAACATTTCTCAAGTGTATCTCAGCAGTAATAATGACAGAGAAGGGAGTGCTTATCATGACTGGTTTATTGTGCTACAGCAGGGATTTAACCGGCAACCTGTTGGTCACAAGCAAAATAAACCAACCCAAGCTGTTCCTCAACATAAAAAGATTAAATGAAAGAAGGACACAGACATAAATATGAAAGTGAGGAAAAAACTGGGCCCTTCAAAATCTGTAATGTCACACAGACACTACATCCATCTTTTCTGTAGTCTGTGATCCCATGGAAAAGTGGGAAAGCAGCCCCACCACATTTATTCTGGCTCTTTCAACATAACATGACATAACATCACATCTGAAAACATGCAATGCCAAAGCTGGAATAATGTGGTTTAACCAGTTGGGGCCTTTGCATGCATCTCATATAACCGTGGCTTTAACGTCTGTTTGGGATCCTGCAAGCAGAACTAAAAGTCGGCTTGTTTTGGGCTTCTTGTGCCAGTAGGGGTTGCTTACATCTGGCAACCTTGCTCCAAACTTTCACTTTAAGAAGGCGCGTCTACGCTGCAGTATAGTGTGTTTATTACAATCCTTAAAGTGACACATGGAAACCATAGCTCATTTCTACATGGCACAAATCTAGACCTACAGATTCTGTCTGCTCAGTGTGAGGAACTGCTTTGGAGAAACCGGAGGGTCTTTTTCCTGTAGCTTGGTCTCTGACTATTTTTAATCTGTGGCGGCGGCACCTTCAGCGTATGCGGCAGCGTGAGCTCCTCACCACCGAGGCGCACGGCCAGCCAAAGGGGAAGGATCGGCGGACTCAGACAGACGGCTGGTGGGCTCGGTGCTCGGGACTCGAGGCGAGGCATGAAATAGTCACCGGCAGAGTCGTCAAAGGTGAAGCACATTGGGACGTGAGTGAAATGGACGCACCGCCGGGGAGCTGCTGGGAGCGCACCTTGGCAAAACGGGAGTAACCGAGTCGTGAAACGGGTTGGGATGGCAGCATCCAGTAACTCCAGCCTCTCAGGTTCATCTGTGTCCTCCGGTAAGAGTTCACATAACCCAGACTTAAACTAGACACTGAGGCGATACACTTAGGATAATAACAACAACATTGTTTATAATTTTGCTCGTCTGCGTGTTTTAAATTATTTGGCTTTAATCAAACTTTTTTAATAATCTTGTCTAAAGCCATTCCTAACAAATGCACCAGGCAATGTGACAGCCTTATATTCCTTCATCAGCGTTTCACATGTGCTTGATAAACAATAAACAACCCTATGATTTCAGTGGCTTCCAGAGACTGCTGTAGTTTAGGATTAATGATAAGTGAAAAGCATCATCATGTGTTAGATCTGGATGCAGTAAGCGGAAACACTAGAGGGTAAAGGGCACCTTTCACGTGTAGATTGATTCTAAGGTTGTGAGATGTAGTCAGTCTGACTGGGTGTTATCATTAGATTGCCAATCATCTCCATAATTCCCTGAATGACTTTCCACTTGGCTGGCTTTAAGGATTATCTTTGGCTTGTGTAGCCTACCATTTTCCCAAAACACAGCACCAGACTGGGACATTTTCTGACATTGTAAAACAATCCTAATATGCTATGGTCCAGTGACATAATACAGTTCATACTGCTGCAGTGTGCACAAAACTCCAATCAGATTCCATTTGCATATAATGAGGTAGTTCAGCAAGTATAGCACCTATTATATATTTGTAAAGAAAAATCAATTTCAGGGTTCACTTTCCACAGAATGAGAACAGAAAGTGGGTTAGCAGCTTCTCAAACAAACCCAGCATGAAATAGCAACTCCATGCTTGCCTCAGTGTACATCCCATTATTTGTTCATAAAGCGCGTTGCTCGTGTTTGCCAGGGTATAAAGTACAAACTCCACTATCGCAGTGCATGTTTGATGTGGAAGCCCCACCAACAACCAGAGGTGTGTGTGTGATAGAGAGAGAGAGAGAGAGAGAGAGTGACAAGGGGAGGGAGAGGCTGTTTATAATAGCAGGCTCAGCACTTTGGTTTATGTTTGCTGTTTCCACCAATATTTTACACGTTTTAGAAACTGTAGTGAGACCTTTTCCACCTCCCAAAAAAAAATGCAAATGAAAAAAAGCTACAGGTTTATTACAGGGTGAGGACATTGCATAGTGTGTTTGTTTTACTTTCTTACTCTCTCTGCATCCTGACCACACCACACAGCAGAGTCACATTTCCCAAGGTACTGCCCAGTGGGAGGGATAAGACGGTCGTTTCCAAGATGATATAGCCTGTGGCAACCGCATGCTTCACAAAGCATTATCTCATGTGCGCCTTTCAGAAAGCAGCGGATTTACTGTTTGACCACTGCTGCTTTAAGAGGAAAGTCTTTTCTTTCTGTGGCATTGGAGGGTTGTCATTACTGTTGGGCTCTCAATATAATTATCAGAGGTTACAAGCTGCGCTGCTGCCAGGGATAGAGTGGTTGTCACAAGGGTATTATTATTTTCATGCAGAGCTCTTTGGCAGTCAGACACAACATTTGAATAATCTTGTCTATGAGGCATATGACTCGAAAAAATGAATCTCGGCTCAATTCCGGCTCCATATTAGGTCATCTGCTCTGGCTGCAAACAAAGTGCTTTTGGTGTAGTTATTTCCTCAGCCATAAGTGATAAGTCTATTTAGTAATCTTGTTTGAAAGCCGTTGTTTAGGTGAGTATGTAAATAAAGTCCATCCAGGTTGTCTGTGTAAACAAAGTGTCATTGATGGCAGCTTTTTTGGGATTAGTACTTACCCATGATAGTGGTAATTATATTATGGGAGCAAACACTGATTTATTTGTGTACTTCCTCCAAATTATTGGAATAAAGCAACAATAATATGTACACAAATTGCCTTGCAATGCGCGGACTGCATTATATACACACAGGCTATAACTACAGCTTTGATACACAGGTGAAAAATAGTAGCTCTTATTTTTGAGCCCAGTGATAATAAGATATCAGTCAAACAGAAATGATTGCAACAGGATTGCAGCATACATGTTGCAATCTCTTCCTTTCCCTGGAAGGATATTTTCTGGCTGTTCGTCTAGATCA